GCTCTCTCAGCTGCTCATATAAACATACAGCAGAGCTGCATGTGTATGAATTAATTTCATCATCAAATATGGGTATTAATATCTTCAGGCATTTTTTAATGTTTGTGTCTATTCTACTGTGAATTGAGTCTTCTTTGCCAAAAAATACAGAAACTTCTTGAGAGAAAGCTAAATGACTCTGTGTAGCAATGCTTTGTAGTGCAGTACTGATGATGCTGTTCTCTTTCATAAAAGACATTGACTTTTACAAGCCCACTAGTGAGAAGAATGAATAAAAGTGTCAAATGTTTCATTACATGTCCCCCCTACACAGTGTTGGCAAAAAAAAACCAAAACCAAACAAACCAAAATGGGTGGGTCTCCCTTGGTCTTTATGGCCAGTTGTCCCTCTCGTTAAAAGTGATGTTAATCTATCATGCAAATCATGCAGATGATATTATTATGGTTGCTCATATCCCTGCTGAAATGACGCATGTCCAGCAAGGTGACAGGTCTTTCCACTCCTCCTGTTACCCAGGGGAATGCAATATTGATGATTAGATTCCCTGTTTCAGCTTCCAGGATGAAGTCAAACCAGCTGGAAGAGGGGAGGAAGCTAGCAAACCGTGGCTTGCCCCACACTATGCTCTCTACAGGCAGGGAAATAAGGCAGGTCAGGCAGAGAATGGAGGCACAACCTGGGACAAAACCGAAAACAGAACAGAACTAGAAGAGAGGTGCAGCTAACAAAATGACATAGAGATTTCCTAATTCCACTTGTATTTAATGCAGTTTGCATTTCACATCTGGGGTTTTTTTTTTGTGTGTGTGTCCCTTAATTTAGTTTTCATGCATTAAAAAGTCTTCAGTGTTTCTAAAGCAACAACTACAGTTTTAGAAGAACATTTTCCCTCCCCACTCCCCAAAGTACAACAGATGTGAAATATTAATTTAGCATAAGTAGGCACAGATGTTATCAAAATCACCCTCTTACCTGCCAACTCCCCCAAATTTTCCAGTGCTTGGATATTTTCTTCCACTGCTGTGTGGAATTTCTTATTGTAAGGTTCTCTGAGCTTTTTTTTTTTTTCTTTTTTCTTTTTCTCAGATATTTTATCCAGTTACTAAACCTGCATACGGCCACCTCCTCTTCTCAGCTGTCGGAGCTACAGCAATACTTCATGACGATCACTGAAAAGAAAAGCAGCCTCTGAAGATACTGATGTGATTAGGGTGAGGGGCCAGGAACCTGTGCTGAGCGCTAGAAGAGCACTTTATAACCACAGCAAATCAGTAAGTTTGGGCTAGACATGGCAGAGAAGTGATGTGAAATATGAGTTGGGGAAGCATGTGAAAGAGAGGGAAAATGAAAGGACAGATTTTAATTTTCCAGTGTTATCAATGTGTGAGTTTACTAAGAGGATGATGCTTTTCTTTGCTGACTCTTTGAATTCTCTGTACTTCTTTACTTTAATATTGTGCTGCCAACACACGTCTGCACAGCAAAACATGCAGATGGGAGTTCTTTCTGTGCCTCAGGCCTATGAAAAGCTATATTAGCACAGCACTACATCTGAACTAATGCACTCTGGCCCTCAGCAAGGACTAATAGCTCAGGACCAGCTTAATGCTAACAGCTTTGAACCATCTGGAATGGAAGTACAGTGGGTTTTATCTTCCCACAACGTACTTTGTAGAGCTATCTGTATTGGCTCTGATTTGGAAGAAGCATTAAAAGCTTTCTTCATACACGGTTTTGCTTTCCATTGGTATATGCCAAAGTGCTTTGCAAACGAGACAAGCATCACTGTCCATACTTCATGATACGCAATGTTAGGACAGGCAAAATACAGTGCCTGCCCTTTGCTACACAGTGGTCAGGTCTGGAGCACGGTTCGGATCTCTGCTGTCCTGTCCACCAGACCATACAGTGTCTCTAACTGGCAGTTGCAGGGTCATTCGGATTCTGCGCTAATATTCAATCACAGAAGTTTTTATATTAAACCCTGTGTTTATCAATAAATGTCCACAACGGCCAAATTAGAAACACTGCAGCGCATTCTATGCAGTCTAAGTTTGTCTAGTTCAATACCTACACAATCAAAGCAGAATTATGTCAATCTATTGTGAAAATGTGCAGAATTCTGATCTCTCTAAGCTGCTGTAAGTAATAACAGTGCCCCTATAAAAACATGCATCGTTTTTCACGCACCATGTTTCGCATCTTTACACAGAAAGTGAAAGAAAAAGCTCCTTAAGATAATTTCCTCTAGGTATGTTTTGGTTACAAATTAATTAGTATCCTAATTATCTTTAAGAAGTTGATTGTATGCAATACACAATGTTCTATGTTCTTCTATCTACCTTTGCTGCTTAACATTATTTTCCAAAAACGTGATAAAACATTAACAACATCTCCTAGCCCAGAATTCATGCCTGATTTAACTCGGTTAGCTTTTGTGGCATTGTATCAGGGGCTCGTTTGGATTTAAACATTTCAGGTTGTTTTACATATGTAGCAATAATTGTGCTGTTTAGAAAAACGTGGTGCCATCGTGTGGACAATATTAAGAAGTGTAAAAATGTTTTTAAAAGAAAAACTAGATAACAAATATCTGTATTCAATATCACAAATCCTCTGAATGATAAATAAGTATTATATGATATAAGAAGCTATGCACAAATCTTTGGGTTTAAAACTGTATCAGGTAAGAAGAAAAACCGATAATGGAATCAGGAATTGTGGATTCAATCCTTTTTATTTTCCAGCTGCTCAGGGAGTCCTTTCCCATGAGCACAGACAGATCAAAAGACACACAAGCGTCTCCAAGCCGCTTTTAATCAGCACCTAATTCCAACATCACCTACTTCTGTACTCATTTCTCTATCTGTTTATCTCTTTGGTTTTTCTCTAAGACTCTACAAAACTTGTTTTTGTACAGTCTGCGTTGCTTCTCTCCCACACAAACGCACACACACTTACACAAACACTCCTGTTCATAACATCAGCCGGCCAAGGCACTCTGCCCACACAGTTCTCATTCCTGCATGAGTTCACACAAAGCTTTGTCTCAGCAATGGTCTTGGTGTAAGGCCTCTTCTTGTTTCTTACATTTAATCAAGAGGAAAGAGACTTTGCCAGATTTAAAATAGCTATATCTAATACCAGAGAACATCCACAACAGTCAAATAAGGAAGACTGCAGTGCACTCACACAGCCTAAGTTTTTCTAGATTAATAGCTACAAAACCAAAGCAGAGTTATGTCAATCTATGTGCAAAATTAAAAACGTCAAAAATGTGCAGAATTCTGACCTCTCTAAGTTGGAGTAATAACAGTGCCTCTATAAAAACATATATTATTTGCCACACGTCATATCTTTACATAGAAAGTGAAAGAAAAAGTTTCTAAAGAGAATTTCCTCTGTTATACCCCATCTTTAACAGACCTGTGAAGGTTTGCATGTGAGGAGCGTGATTCAAAAACTGTCCTCTGTGTTACACTCCCCCAAGGCAAAACTGCATGTCACAGAACCGTAATCTGTGTCCTGTTCCGAGACCATGTATGCCAAGGGCTGGTTAGCCTGTTCTGCAGTCTGCTGATTTAATTTATATTGAATAAAGGAAAGAACTTTTAAAGCTTTGCCAGTGGGTTTGAAACAGATAGTCTATCTGGGATAGAGCTGGAGCACATAACATGTTTGGATGAGTCTCCTCTTCTGTGAAAGTTTCGTGGTTTTGTTTTGGTAAAACTCAACAAGTTTTATTTGACCTTTATGAACATTGAAGATCATTGGAATCCTTTTTGAGAGCAGAGACTTGCGCAATATTTTACTCAGAAATTCATTTACTTCTTGCAGAAAGAGCCTGCTTTTGTGGAACAGTAAGAAATGGAATACGTGTACGTGGATATAATGGAATGTCATACATTAAGAAGATGCTCTGTGGTGATGCTTCAGCTTCCATATAAAGACAGGTAACTGTGAAGTAATGACATCTGTTTCCCATGTTTTTGCATCTCATGCTTGGTTGATTTTGTTGTAAAAGAAAATATGAGTTCCAGCTGAAATTCTTACCATTCTCGGGCCATTTTTTTCATGTGGATTCTCTGATGTCTAATTAGGTATGCACATAGACTACAATCCTTTTCTTAGTGGATAATCTTTCAGTGTTTCTTATTCTTTTTCTACTTTGGTACTTATTTTCGTGAAACTTGTAGGGGCTTAATTTGCTTTGACAATTTTACCTTGCTGTCAAACTTGGTAGAAATGATTATAGATTGAAAAATTCTGAGGGTGGGAGGCTAATGGAACATGGTGATGCATGGATAAAGCTGTCAGAAGTCTCTAGTCTGTATCAGTGTGTTCAAGTTCTTGGTTACTCGACATTTAAATCTTTAGAATACATGGACAAAGGTAAAAAACCTCAGTGTATACTGTTTTAAATTAATTTCCATAAATCTGAAGCCAATCTCAAGACAGAGAGACTTCAATTGTGATTTCTTAATAATTGGCAACGTTGTGCTAGACAGACCATGGAACAAGCTCAACAACCAACTTCCTTTCAGATGAACTTTAAATGTCAAAGTATCCCATGATAGCTTGCATGAGTTTGGTTTACAGTGTTTTGGAAACTGTACACTCATCCTTTTAAAAAGTGTGACACTGGTTTGGTTTGGTTTTGGAAGAATTGGTTAAATATACTCTGAAGGCCAGTAAGGTAGTGAAAATATATTAGATTTCCTGGATTCTGACAACTTTTTTCACCAGTAAATGTGAAAATGAGGGAATGAACCCTTCCTGATTCATTAATTTTTGATGTTGTGCATGGTTCATCAAATTTTACTAGTTTTGCCCACCGTATAACCTTGATGAGTTAACGAGATTTTGCAGTATTGCTAGTGGTAGACTTTCATTTCCATTTTTAAAAGAAGCATCTCTAAAACTAAAATCTGAACAGAAAAAAAAACAAACCAAGAATCAGAATCTCATCAACTGTCAGCTGTACTGGGATTTTTATATTCTATGTCTCTTCACAAAATTCATTCTTTCTGATCTCGCCTGGGTGAGGGTTGGGTCTATCAATCATTGTACCACCCTCATTGCTGGGATTTCCAGTAACTATTACCCAGTAATTCTTATCTTCTTCAGCCTTATGGGAGTCCAGATAAGTGTGACAAGTTACTTCATATTCTTTTCCAAAATAAGACCTGCAAAGTCAAAGACAAAGGGATGGGCAGGAGGAATTAATATATACACAAATTCAGCAAATCTGCATTATTTGTAAATTGTTCAAGGTTTTCTCATATTTCTCTTGACTTACCCAGAAATACCACCATGTACTTTCAAATATCAGACCCTTACAAGAAACACAATAGCTCACTTTGTTTCCTACGAATAATTTAGGAATTTGAAATCAAAGGGAAATGCCACCTTTCTAGCTTCAGAGCTAAAGCTGCCCCTGACCTGGTTAGGTTCTCATCACCATTCTCAATTGCTGTTTCTCTCTGATAGAGGAAGACTGGCTATTTAATAACTATTTCAGCCTCAAACTTTTCAGACCTTGTTTCATCTTCAAAAATCTGATACAAATCCTGTCAGATCTTGCTCAGAATTTAATGGGAAACAATTGGTATACTCCTTAACAATGCTTAATTAATATTCATTTAATGCATGCAAAAAACACACTGCATCAAACAATTGTTGGACTAATTTCAATTTGTTGAGAGCTTGATTCATACAGACTTAAGCAATATACAGTTTGATGCAGTGTGTTTTTATTTAGCTCTCTTACTCCTTATACTTCTTAGTATACCTTTTTTTTCTTAAAAAAAATAATCAAACTGTAATTGCTCAATATATTCAAAGGGAGAACCACTGAGAAACTAGAGAAGGCTAGAAGCATGATATGATATGAATTAAAAGGAAAAAAAAACCAAGTAAGGCTGAGCTGTGTGTCTGTAGCATCGCAGTGGCACACATAGCCCAGAAATAAAATGAGGGAAAGGAGAATGTGCATTCTGCGTTCTTTTCCATTTCCTCAGTACATTCCTAAAGCATCTATCTTGCTTCTTACAGTAGTTCTTGATGTTAACACATCATTATGCATATCCCTGCCAGGTACAAAATATTCTTACCTTGTCCAAAATTTCCTTGGAACGGCTAAGCTCCGATTAGTGTGGCAATGAGTAATAATAATTTTGGAGTCTGCCTGGAAAAAAGACAACAAGCGCAGATACTTGAAAGACATTTTTACACTAATTTTAACTATTCTTATTCAAATTAAATGCTTTTATTTACTGCTCTGTATCACTCTGAGACTGCTGTACGTTGATAGTGTGATATTTTACAGCCCATCAGTTCTCAACACAACTGTCTTAACAGCTCAGACCAGCCAAACGCTTGGCCCTCAGGTCAGACACATTCTCCAGTCCAACACATTCTATTCCACTCCCTTGTGCTGGGCACTTCAAATAAAAAAAAAAAAAATTCAAGCTAGTAGAGAGTCATTCCAGTAGCCTGTGCCATCAGGGTAATTCCATTTACAATTGATATTGGCTGTATGCGACATCCAGATGCTCTGGGGACACAACGTAGAAACAGACCTTTATGTTAAATCCATTTGCGATTTTTTATGTATAACAGAATTAAATTTTAGTCGCCTCCATTTACCACTACTGTGAAAAAGAATGTTGTCTTTGACAATTACATAATTTTGACTGTGTTCATTAGTGAGGTGATTCATGTAAATGAGTCACAGTTCAAGGCTGTAGAGGAACAGTTATAGTTATGATATTTTGCTACACACCCAGCACTTCAGGAAGCCTAGCAGTTATGTGGAACAGGAAAATACTGTCTCTGCTTCATGTATTTCCAAATTTTAAAACCCTCATTTGGAAAAGCTTCCACTTATTCAGATGCCATGGAGTTTTTTAAAACTGCTAAATTTAATGTACAGGAGTTCTTAACTAATCATAGCTCCTAACATTAGAAATGGAATTTAGTGCTCAGAAGTCCTGAAAAGCAGATTCCAAGTACTGCATCCTCACAACATGACAATGTCAACCTTTTAAAAACTCTGATCAGAAAAACAGAACAAGTTGACCTCAAAACGAACACTAGAACCTAACAGTTGTATATGCAGATGCCATGGTTAAAGAGATTGTTCCTTCCCCCTCCCTCTTCCTAAAATCACAGGTCAGAACTTACATAAGGAAAATATGCAAATAAAACAGACACAACTTTTTTCTCAGTACTCCATCTAGTGTTTCAATTAAATCTTCATGACATTTTCTACAGTTTTAATTTCTTACGGGAACTGGAAATCCTTCATTTTCAAGACGCAGCTGTGGATCCAAGAAGACAGCTTGCCAGCGAGTCAAATAGGAAAGCTCATCTGTCAAAAATACTTGCTGAAGTTGAGATTTTTTAGCAGATCTTATAAATGATTTGTGGTCACTCGCTAGATATAACTGTAAATAAAAACATATATTAAGGACAGTATAAATATAACAGATACAAGACACATAATTTAAAAAAATGTTTTTCAACACAAAAAACTTTCAGCTCCTGAAAAATCAGTCTGCCAAGCTAAAGCAATACATACAAAACACATAATTCTATGTTGTTGAGAACTATTCTATATGCAGACTGGTGAATACTAATTTAAATTTGAGTTTACATTCCAAAGACTCTTTCTCATCAAAGTAGTCGTCGAGAGGGAAAATTTTTTCAAAGTTGTGGTGATGTATCTTGATTGCATATGTAACCTGTAATGTCTTATTTGCTTCTAACTTGCAGAGGGAAACAATGTTAAGATTTAAGAAATCTGCTCCCTTAGAATGATAGGATACTATGCTACTTCATATACCTGCTGTAGATTTATCTTCACAAGAAATAAAGTCTTGTCATTTTGGATTTATTTAAACAAAAAGTAAAAAAAAAATCTCCTTCTAACAATTAATTATTTCATGATTCACAAGCTAATTTTTATTTCCTTTTTTCTTTTCTTTTTTAAAATCTCCTTTATCCAGTCGTTCTGGCTGACAGTCCCCTTGGCCTGCACACCTCATCTCAGGTAAGTTGCATAAACTTTCTAATAGGTATTGCTTATCTCGATCTATGTACGATTCTGAATCTGTTCTGTAAAGCTAAGATGCCGAACCACTGTACAGCTTTACATAAATATATGGGGTAATTAAATGCACACTATCAGTGTATGCTACCATTGTCATTTGCAACTTTATTGCCTCACCATCTGGTCAGAAAACCCTCCTGTTGTCCCAAGAACAAACTTTTGCCCGAATCTAATCGGTTCATCCACTGCACCTCCATCAACACTGTTAAAATTGTAAAAAAGAAGAGAGAGACATTGAAGGAATCAGCTTTATGTTTTGTTGTTGTTGTTTTGGCTATAATTAGGTCTCGTGGCAACACTTCATACTAAGTTTTCCTTTAAAAATAGGTAAAATATCTTAACTGAAAAGACATTTCATACTTGACTTACTGGTTAAAATACTTGATAGAATAGAAACAGACTGTATCGATTACTTTTTATCACATATTCATTAACGTGCAAGTTGGAAAGATAACGTCCAATGAAAAATCAATGGGAATTCAGGACTGAAGCCCTCTCTAAAATATACTTAATACAAGCATCTGAAAAATCACAGACTAGAAGTAGAACAGTGTGTGTTTGTGTTTGTCTGTAACTTAACATATGTTGGAGGTAATATATGTAACTGATGTTCAATAATTTGTTTCATTACATCGGAATACATGCTAGTATATCCCTATTTCCAGAATGATTTTGGCATTTTACATTAAAGAATCACTAAATTAAGTGCTAGGCTTTCTAAGTATATTCAGGGTAGAAAACTTATGTAGCAGATGAAGTTAGTAGTCAGTTAGCAAGGGAATTGATAGCATTTCGTGCCAATGACTCTTAAGATCAGACAGCAGCTAAGCAAAAATATTTTGGTTGCAGTTCTAGAAGGCCTAGATTATGCATTTGGCATCAAAATTTTTTCTTATGGCTAACCTGAAGTGTTTTGCTCAATCAGGATTATATGGGTTAGTCTGTACTCTTCTGCACTATTATTATTATTATTGTTAAATACATGTACTCAGGCAGAGCCTTCCATCATTGAGCAGGACCCTGTTCTTCTGGTTTTTCTCCCACAAACAGCGGGAATTAAATATCCCTTTGAGAGACAGAATATGCTGTTTGGTTAAGAGGTATTTTAGGACAACAGAAGCATTGTCCACTTCATGTGCAGCAAAAGCCTTGACACGAATTTCTGCTTCAGAGACCTTATTTGCAGGAGAACGAGTAGTAATGCTAAGTGCTTTTTGGACACGTTTTGTATTCTACAGCTGAAATATGACTGCATTAAAAACAGCTGCAGAGTTTACCAAATGATACGGTGAACTGGATTCTGTTTTCACACCAGTTCTAAGCCGATTTAAACTTCCTTGGAATTATTCACAGCTTAATAATTGAAAACAGCTCAGAATAAAGTACCAAACCTTAAAATACAAAAAGTATTGCGACCCGCAGGGTCCACGCTCTCGACTGCACTAACTCCACAAGGGGCTTGCAACGATGCGGCCGAATATATGGATATCTCATCCAGATTAACCGCCAAAGTCAGACTGCGGCACGCTCCAGGGTAATTCTCCGTTGAGGGTTTGTTGTCTGGGTTCAAAAGCATCACGGTATCTCCAAAATGAATAAATCCATCCTTTGACACCGACAGCTGTACCTAAATTAAAATACACGTTATTTTTTACAGAATTATCTGAACATAATATCGGAAGTATTTTAGCATCTAAAATGCTTATCCGTAGCATTCTCAATGCATAAAGGACACTAATAACAGCCGTGCCATTCCATGTGGAGTCGTAGAGGATTGACATTACCCTCTTAAAAAATTACCTTCTTCAAAAGATTATCTTGAAGTTTGTTTATTTTCTGTATTAAAAGTTCTCCTCGTTCTCTTTTATGCATGAAGTCCCTCAAGCGGTCCTGTTTGCAAAGGAGAGAGGGGGGGCAGACATGTTACCCAGCACTCGCAATCTCGGATTTAAACAGAATTTAAAGAATTTGGGGGAAACAGCGCGAGGTGAAGAGACAGGGGGGGCTCTCCGGGAGCCAGAGGGGAGAAGGGCCCGGCCCCAGCCCCACCACTACCTCCTCCAA